AAGTGGAAGAATGGCCAACTAAGCGTAGAAAAAAATTGGAATCGGGTTGCCATTCACGTGACGCATGTAGGTGCTGAACTGTACTTATCAATGATTGACTGTGGTCCATCACGGTATACAATATGGCGTAAACTAGTAACTAAAGCAGCTGCTGAAGTTGTAGGTAGACTCGAAGAAATATTCTCTTTATTTGGTCCGCCAGTATGTCTTCTAATGGACAACGAATTTTGGTCCAACACGTTAACAAGTTTTGCTGAAGAATGGCATGTTAATTTGGAATATCGAGTAGCACATCGAGCTCAAGGTAATGGTATAGTTGAACGTATACACAGATCGATAAAAAGAACGGTCGCTCGCTCACATTGTTCAATCGCTCTGGCAGTCTTGCTGTACAACGAGACAATATCATCCAATTGTACTGAAAGTCCATCTAAGCAATTCAAGAAAAGATCGACATGTTTCATCCCACGCGTCGATACTCGGAGGAAGGTAGACGAGAAAGGCGTATGCAAGAAATTCAAAGTGGGTGACAATGTTTGGGTAAAACCAACTCAAGAAACAAAATGTGACCAGCCGTGGATACCAGGCGTAGTAAAAAAGCAAAATACTTTGTCGTTTGTCGTGGAAACTGCGAATCAGGTATATCCGCGTCACATTTCACACCTGCGTCGCCGTACAGACGTACAGAGTTCAAATGAATCAGTCAACGATGTTTTTTATAGACTAAACGATAAAACTGATGACGTTAAAGGAAGTTATAATGATGATGTCGCTCAAGTTCAAAATGATTCTCAAGAACTCAACGTGCTGCAAGTATCACGCTCCGGACGAACAGTAAAACCCCCACAAAGATTAGACTTATGATTTAATTCACCAAGAGGGTATGTTCTATTATTATGTTGGTGAATTGTACGTGTTAGAAATCACGTAGATGCGTGTTGAAAGTCACGCGTCTACGTAAGTTATTTCAACAGTATATTCTCATGGGACTTTTTAATTTAATATATATAGAGAAAAGATTTTTGTATAGGATGTTAGAAAGAATATATAAAGTTATAGATTATAAACGTTATTAAATTAAATGGACGCGACGATAAAACACTTATACATACATATATATATATATATATATATATATATATATATATATATATATATATATATATATATATATATATATATATATATATATATATATATATATATATATATATATATATATATATATATATATATATATATATATATATATATATATATATATTGTTGTTTTATTGTACCAAATTAAGATACAAAAGTCTCTTGTTCGTTTGAGAGTGATCAATATAATGTAAGTGTTTACAAAATAGATCAATAATAATAATAATAATAGAGTTTGATTATTTGAAAAAATACAACTTTTTGATGGTACTTAAAGTTTCATGCCCTTCGGCAATCATCAGCCATATTTTATTCTTTTAAAACAAGAAAAACCGTTAAAAAATACAAAATACAAAAATTAACAGAAAAAACAATAACAATGCAATAGAATGAGTTCTGACGTCAAAACAAAATTTTTAATTAGAAAATTGTTTAATCGGCCGTGTCGAAGTGGGCGAGAAGAAACTTGTTTCGATGCCTGCACTTGGATATCATTTCACTTTTTTTGTTAATTAGATTTTTATTTTTGGAAAACAGAATTTGATATTTTTCATTTATACACAGTTTGCGAGACTTCATGGTTGGGTTGTAAGCATTGCACTGCTTAATTATTTTCCATTTAACAACTGGATTTAAATTTGCATCTTTCAGTTTCCAAAATTCTTTTGATAGTTCAGTGTCATTTTTGTATTTTAGAATGGTAAAAGATTTTATATGGTTGGCATATCTAATTTTGAATGGTGTTTCGCTTATACCGATGTATAGTTTGTTGACAGGAGTGGTAGTAGGATTAGTTGAACTTATTTTAGCTTGGTATACAATGTTTTTTGTTAAGCATTGGTTTGATAGAGGGCAGGTGCTTTTATTAAGGCAGTTGCAATTGGTTTTAGGTGGATCTTTTTTGTTGTTCATAATTTGTCGATTGTGTACATTTAGGATAGATTTCATGTTCGGCATACAGCTATAACTTACTTTTATGGTGTTTCTGTTGAAGATTTTGTGGAACTTGTGATTTATTGGGAAGTGTTTGTTGACTAAAGTTAAGAAGCTTTTTCCTATGTTAGTGCTTACATTTTTGCTGAAAGGTGGGTTAAACCAAATGATGTTGCGTTTACGGTTTTTTGTATAAGGTGAATTTAAATTAGGGTGGTATGAAAGTTTATGATTAAAACCGGACTTTAACAGTGCGTCATTGTATGCAGGAGTAGATCTTTGGAAAATTTCTTCACTTGAGGAATTTGCAGACAATCTTAACTCAATTGAATGCGGAAGCTGTTTTAAAATATTTGGTGGGTGGTTTGAATCAGTGTGAATATAATTTAAAGAATTTCCGGGCTTAGAATATGGTTGGAAAGTATGGTCATTTAGATTTAATGTGACGTCGAGGTAATTTACAATTTTCATGTTGCATTGAATTGATATATTGAGTTCGTTTTTTTTAAATATTTCAACAAGATGTTTTTAATTTTTTCCATTTGGGGGCCACTCATATTTTTAAAAACTGCTAAGCCGTCATCGCGGTATAGTCCGAAATCGTTTTTATTATAAACCTGTGCAACTTGAGACAATAGATAAATTCCCACGATTTCACAAACTTCAGCACCGTCAAATGCTCCCATTGAAACATCGAATAAACCGCCTGATTTTTTAATCCAAACTTGATCATCATTATATAATAATGACTTTCTTGCGTGATAGATCAATGATTTATGGTTAGGTTCAATATTTAGATGTTGTTCAGCGAAATGGATAGCATTGTTGAGTAATTTTTCTGTTATTGATGGGTAAAAATCAACAATGTCAAAAACAAGGAATTTATAAAGGTGTTTATTTCTGATGCAATTAAACCAGTTTGTGGTATCTTGTGTTTTTTTCCATTGATTGAGGTCAAGTTTATTGACAAGTTCAGAGTTTATATTAGAAAGTATAACTTTACTAATTCTGCCGATTTCGTTTTTAGCGGGGTTTAATAAACGGACAGTTGGATTATTTGTAAAGTTTTCTTTATGGTCTTTTAATTTTATAAAGCAATTTGAAGGTGTGTTAATATTAATTTTATTAAAAACGTCGTGATTCTGTAATATCTGTTTACCTTCTTTATTTATTTGATTTTTTATTTTTGTATTCGATTTTTTGTATGTTGAGGTGATAGCATTTGTAAGTAAATGGGTGTAATTTTCTTTAGATATATTATATAAATTGGATGTTTTATCGGAAAAAGTGTAAGTAAGTTTGCTATTGCGTATGGTAGATATGTCATTCTTTAATTTGTTTTGGAAATTATTGTAGACTTTACGAAATTTAATATTTTTTATTAGGTCTATCAGATCGTTTTCAAATGCAGTCATGTCGGAAATTTGCTTGGGGTAATTTGATGTTTTTATGCCGTAATTGTTATAATAAAAATTTTCCTTACTTTTTTGATCTTTATTGATGAAAAAGAAAGCTTTCCATCTCATTCTTTTTATTAATGCTTCGGTTTTATCAAGTAACTGTATTTTGTAGTCCTTTATTGATGGAATCGGAATGTTCTTGATTGAATAATTCAAGTTAGTTTTTTTCATTATGTAGACGACTTGAGAAGAGTGCTCAACGTATGGAGCTGATTATTGTTGTTTTATTGTACCAAATTAAGATACAAAAGTCTCTTGTTCGTTTGAGAGTGATCAATATAATGTAAGTGTTTACAAAATAGATTAATAATAATAATAATAGAGTTTGATTATTTGAAAAAATACAACTTTTTGATGGTACTTGAAGTTTATATATATATATATATATATATATATATATATATATATATATATATATATATATATATATATATATATATATATATATATATATATATATATATATATATATATATATATATATATATATATATATATATATATATATATATATATATACATATATATATATATATATATATATATATATATATATATATATATATATATATATATATATATATATATATATATATATATATATATATATATATATAAATATATAAATATATATATATATATATATAGGTACGCGGAAATCACGATTTACGGAACCGATTTTTATGCTAAAATTTTGGTTCTCGTTTTTTTCACTCTTTTTATGCACCGTGAGGCAGACGTAGTTTTAAGAATTTTCTTTTTAGAAACATATATAGACATAGATACTTTTTGGAAAGAAGAAAAGTTAGTCTTGATTTTTGAAATACTTTTATGTATGGTTACTAAACTTTGTTATAGAATATTTTGCTCCTTAATATTAGGTTGATGTTTTCTCATGAATTTGTGGTCAAAGAAATGTCTGAAGAGTCTGCTTTTTTTATTATTAAAATAGCTTGTTTCATGCATTTTCTATGCACATGCCAAACTTCAACAAAAAATAATGATAAGCAATTAGTCTAATTAGTGTTATACCAAGTATACCACTTTTTTCAGGTAGCCCTAGGCAAACGGTTTTTTGAGGTGGTTTTTTTTAGAAACATATATTAACCTTGACGACTTTTGAAAGAAGAAAGATTAGGCTTGATTTATATAAACTATTGTGTATTGCTAACATACCTTTTTATGGAGTATTTTGCTGAGAATTTTGCATGGAAATTTGGCTGATGTTGTAACATGGATTTTTAGTTGAAGAAATGTAGAGTCTGCTTTTTTTTATTATTAAAATAGTTTTTTTTATGCATTTTCTATGAACATGCCAAATTTCAACGAAAAATAATTATAAGCAATTAGTCTAATTAGTGTTGGACTTTAGGTACCTAATTTCGATTTTTTTGTTGTTGTTTTTTTTGGTAAGCAAAATCCGGTAGGCGCCGAAATCCGGATAAGGGGGCGTTTCAACTGAAAATCTTATTTTGAATTATTGTGATATATATTATTAGATTTAAAAAAATATGGCAACATATAGCAAGAGTGTGTTAGATGCCCTAACAGAAAGTAAGTTCAATTTTTTTTATTCTTAATAATAGTATTAATAACTTTTTAACTCCAAAAAATAATGAATAATGTAAAACCTTCATTGTTTTTTATGTAACATATTAAAAAAGATGAATGTTTAAGATTAAAACTGTTGGTATTCATTGAATAATTCATAGTCACAGTTTTAATTTTTTTAAACACTAAAAATTTTTTTTGTTAGGCTTACACTAATGCAGTATGTAATTTACTCATTTATATGTGGTTTATAATAGCCTATTAAAACTGATTGTCACTTGTTAGATTCAGTTGACAATTTATTAAAACATTACATATAAACAATTATATTACATACTTCATTACGTTAATCTTAACAAAAAGCTTCTTATTGTTTTTAAAATATAACAAAAGATATCATTATTATTGTCTTTTATCATATTTGGATTATATACTTCTTTATCTATGGATTAGTGTTTAAATCATTATACAAGCATGTCTAATATTTATTTCTTGTGTAGATCCTGCCCGGCTTTTTGTTGATTTTTTAAAATTTCGTAAGTATAAATCACATAAAGTTTAAATTTAATATTCACTAAGAGAAAAAGTATACAATAAGTAAATATTAATAAACATTTATAATATCTTCCTATCTATAGTAAGTCTTAAAAAAACTAGAGTTCATTTTTTTATTTATTGTATATTATCTTTTTATGTGTTTATTGTTTACATAAGTTTATAACCATTCCTAATGTTAACTTGTTGCTTATAAATATATTATCTTTATATTTTAATAGTTATATTTAGTTGTTTATTTTCATTTTGTTAGTATAGTTGTTGCATCTTAAGTAGAAAATTTTTTAACTTTAGTACAGCTTTTAACATTTGTAACTTACTGTTGACAATTTCAAATTATTTTGTGCACAAAGTTTTTGTTATTTTTAGTCGAATCTACACAGCCCACCACTGGTAAGATTTTATCAGTTTGTATATGCTAATGATTATAGAATTAGCTAGTACTTTTTATTCTGTAAATAAATTTGAAAGATTACCGATTTCAAAGTCCTTATTTGCAATATTTGTTTCTTATTACAAATTTTGAATTTAAGTGACATCTTTGTCTTCAACAAATGGTAAATTTAACAATTATTACTTTTTAATATGTGTATATATTTTTGATGACTGCAGTATAAACTTTTATTAAATAATTCTTAACCTTAGTTCCTTCTACATCTGCTATAAGGGGTATGTTAACTAATTTTTACTTTTCAAAATGTTTATACATATCTTGGCAATTTCAGTAATTATTTTTAATTACAACTTTGATAATATTTAGTTACATCTTCAGCACCTACTATAACTAGTAAGTTTATAAACTATTATTATTTGCAAATGTTTACACACCTTTCTTATCAATTGCAAATTTTTATAGAAACTTTTTTTATTTTTAGTTTCATGTGTTCAACCTTCTGCTGGTAAATTTATGATTTAAAAATTTTTTTAAATGATTTTTTAGTTTATGTTTATACTTATATACACTATTTAATGCATTAGTATTGTGTTATCCCTCAAAGTGCAGTAAAATAAAATTATTACTCTCATGAACATTTTTTACGCTATCATTGATTAATACGTTGTTCATGTTATTTATTCAGCCTATCACTTTTACAATTAATTGTTTTATATTACATTTTACATAATGCCGTTCAGTACTAATCTATTAACAAATCATTGTCATTTAGAGCTAACCTATCAAGACTACCTATTATATAGGTCCCAGCATCCTGGACCCACCAGCAATAGTTCATTTAAGCGATGGGTCCGGTTAGGAGGAAAGGACCATAATTTTTTTAAATGGCCCTATCATCCTCCTAACAAGGGTGCTGGGAGCCGCAGCAGAAGGGGAGGTGATCGAGGTCGTGGAAGTGGAGGAAGCAGAGGGAGAAGATGGAATGGTGGCAGCCAAGTGGTTCATGGACACTATTAAAATTATTAGGCACCACCATTCCTTTTTTTTTTTAAATATATATTTAGTTTCAGCAAGTCTATTTTCCGTTCTTTTTCCAATTTATACAATTATCAACATTTGCATTATATTTTTTCAAATTTTCACCCAAAAAAATTTAAAAGCAAAACATTGCAATAGTCCCAATGAAATACTTTTTACACTTTTAAAAGTTGTATTATATAAATTTGTAAAGTTTACACTATAGATAGATGTGAACCTTTCAATAGAATTAGGTTTTTTTTTAAGACTCTGTAGCCCACGTTAAATGTAATTTTAAATCTATGTGTAATATTTCAAATGTTGATAAATGTTAAGTGTATTTTTTAAACTTATTTACTATTCTTGTTTTAGCTTATTAAAAATGTTTGTTTGATTTTATTAATAGTTATTTGATTTTATGTTATTGTACCTTATGTTTACAGTTCCTAAAAATTATATTTGCATTATTGAGGTTGAAATATCAGTTTCTTGTAATCGTAACTTGTTTAAAGAAGGTATATATGAGTTTTTTAAATTATTTGATATTTTTTAGGTTTATATAATTTAGTATATTTTTTTACATTATTTATAATATTATTAATTTTTTAAAAGTTGTTATATATTATTTGTTTATTATGTATTTATTTGTTTGTGTAGGTAAAGTTTAATTTGTTATATATTTTATATATATACTCTTTGTATATACTTTATGAGACATTATGGGTCCAAAAATTATTTTTTCGGATTCAGTGAAAAAAGATTTAGCTATGAACTTCACTTTGCAAGGTGAAGTACATACGCAATGTCAAAACGGACATATCATCCTCTCATTCACTAATAATGGTGAGTCAATTAGTCGTACTCTTAAACAAGTCAATGAGTTATTTAGCTTAAAAACTAGTAAATGTTGACTTTATAATGCTATTAACATTGCAAAAAAATGGACTACCCATTATGTAAGGGATTGTGCAAAATTTATTAATTTCTGTAATCAGCCCTTTGCATACCATGCATCAAACGTGTCAATGATGCAAGCAATTCATCTTAATCAAAGTAGTTCGTTGATTAATGTTTCAGGATCTTCTTTGCTGTCAACAAATGAACATATTGCTGGCTTACCATTAGTTAATGGAGAGCCTTCTTTGCTTTGTCAGTTGCTCAGAAAATGAAAAAAGAGAGCATGCATCAAGAGAAGAGGTAACCCCAAAGAAAGCCAAACTCAGATGTAGGTTATCTTATTTATCTTCTAAGTTAGCTAGCTCAAGTAAAGAACACAAGAAAAAACTAGATCAAGTTCGATTTAAGTATAATAGCTTACCATATAAGTTAAAAATATTCAAGAAAAATATCCAAAGAAAAGAATATATTATTAAAGCTTTGAGGGCAGAAGTTAGAGATCTAAAAAAACAAATTAAAACTTATCATTACAGTCGGTTAATTCGTAATCTTCAGGCAAAAATAAAGGAGTTGAAAATAAAACAAAAACAAAACTTCATGAAAATAGAAGTAAAAGAGAATGCTGATGGTAAGGCTTACAAAATGTTTATTGCTCAATTGGAAAATGACATGTTGCAGATAAAAGAGGGGAAAATGCCATATGTTAATATGACAGAAGATGATAAGAGTTACCCCTTAAAAATGAAGATGATAATTTATGGCATGTTATTAGCTAATGTTCCAACAGGTAACATTCGATTCTTAATTTCAAAAATTGGGCAATATTTAGGTGTTAACTTTACAGATATTCCTCATCGTTGTACTATTGAGCAAATGGCTCGTGAGCTTGGCTGTATAGCAGAACTGCAAGCAGCAGAATAGGCTATGAGTAATTCTCATCTTACTCTTGGATTTGATGCAACAACACAAGAAGGTGTTCATATCAACACAGTTCATCTGACTTCTATAAATAACTGTCAGGTCATTGCGCTGGACCAATTACCAGGTGGAACAGCTGTTGATTATGAAAACCATATTTGTGTTGCAGTTGATCATTTAGCTTTTATTTATTCAAATTTTCATTCGTTTCCCTTTAATGAATGTCGTAGTAGAATCATATCAAATATATCCAGCACAATGTCTGACAGAGTAGCGGTTAACCATTTAACCATTTCCAAAAATTGTAATACCTGGGGGAAGAATTTGAACGAACTAAATTGTCATTTGCATCCTCTAGAAACAATTGCCATTTCATGTCGCGAAACCTTGAAATCTCTAGAAATTGAACCTTGCAATTTGTTTGGATATGATTGTGTGGCAGTCAAAATTGTATTAGCAATGAATAAGATGAGGTTTAAAGATGGCAAAGGTGATCCACAAGGTTTTGTAAATTTTTTAGACAATAACCAACTACCGCGAGGTATTTTTCCGCGGTATCGTGAAAACCGTCTGCACATTCTTTTCCATACTTGTTTTATTTTTATTAAACACTATACTGCTTTTCTACTTTATCTGACCACTGGAACAATAAAATGTTTCAGCTTGCTACCAATTCTGCTTGAAGCATTTTGTAATACAACCGCTGTAAAACAAATATGGAGTGCTAGCATTATTTAGTAAACTTCTCAGTGGACCATGGATGACTAAGTTTTATGTATCAGCTGATGAGGCCAGTTTTGATCATGTCACTGGTATCCAGGTAGTAAAAGATGTTCTAAAAGAAGTTACTAATTGCAAGTCTGATCCAGCTGCACTATTTTGCAGAGAAATTGATTATTTTGGAACAACGCTTGCCCCAAATATTTTACAATCTATTACAACTTTATGCCCCATTGATGACGAACTTTTAAAAAATGACTTCAGCTTGTCTTAATGCAGTTGATGAAGTGTTGACTCGTCAATATAAAAGATATTTCTCCCTTTCTATTACAGCAGCACTCAAAAAGGAGACATCAAGTGCAAGGCTTCACAATATAGACAGCGAAGAATTAATGGGTATGTTTAGTGATGCCAAAGGACGATGCCCTAATGCAACAATTTGTTATATATCTAGCAAATTAAGATCCAAAAAGAAAAGGACGATCGATTACCTTGATAATCTGGATGAGTTGTCTAGAGAAAAAGTAGTTAAATGGTCTATGTGCATAGCCCGTAAAAAAAGAATGAAAAAACGACTACTACATAATGAAATTAGAGCAGAGATTACTGGTAGACTGGGTTGTAAACGCCAAAAAATGGACGAAAAACAAAAAAAGAAAGTTAGAGCGTGAGCTTTGTATTTTAACTACCAATGAAATGATGCATAAATATAAACACTTATCTGCAAAACAACTTGAAGATTTAGATGATGTTATGTCAGAGAGAATTGTTGGCAGAAAACTTGGTCATGAGTGGTATGATGATGACAATTCAAAATCTGTCATTTATGATGGTAGAGTCGAAAAGGTGAAAAAGAGATTACAAGAAAGAATTTACACTATTTCTTACTAGAAAAAAGATGAGACAGATATGGAAGTTGTTGAATATATGATGAAAAAAATACAACTTGCTGCTGATGTTATAACAGGAGTATTAATATTTTCTTAAATGGAATATAAATATTATTGGTATGCTACGTCAATGTCAAGTATGTAGAATATATTTAAAATATAGTATACATTATATATATATATATATATATATATATATATATATATATATATGTATATATATATATATATATATATATATATATATATATTTATATATATATATATATATATATATACATATATATATATATATATATATATATATATATATATATATATATATATATATATATATATATATATATATATATATATACATATGTAGTATATTGTATAAATTATGTATAAAGTATTAGGAATATATTATATATATATATATATATATATATATATATATATATATATATATATATATATATATATATATATATATATATATATATATATATATATATATATATATATATATATATATATATATATATATATATATATATATACACAGGGGCGGATCTAGGGTACGTCTAGTACGTCTTAAGATGTACCCAAAAAAATATTAAATAAATAAAAAAAAAAATTAATTTACGTTTCAATTATAAAAATAACTTTTTTGGTTAAAATAAGACTTAATTTTATAGGCACTTGTGAAACAAGAAATACGAACGGTTCTTGTTTAAAGTTCTTGTTAAAAAGATATCTGTCTTTGCCTGAGGTTTAAGCAATTCTTGATAAATAATATTTAATAAAATAAACGAATGGACGTCCCCAATTCTATTTTATTATAAAATAAAAAATTATTTTAAATTTGTATTTAATTTGTTAAAACAATAAATAAATAATATCTTTACTGATAATTATTTTTGGACGTCCCCAAATTGGTACACCCTTATTAAAATATTGTCAAAATCTTTTGTTTTAAGACAATCAGGAGGTAAAACTAATGATAATATCCTATAAATAATAAGATACACCAATAGACGTCCCCAATAATATTTTATTTTATTATTTATCTTTATATTTAATTTAGTTTTCAATATTTAATTTTTAAATACTCGGTTTCTTTTATAAAAAAACACTGCCGGACGTCCCTTCGTTAATACACCCTGAAATACATGTCTTATTCCTAATATTAAAAATGTTGTTTAATGTTAAAAATTCAAGCATTTATTTGTGTGTTCGAGTATTAATTTAAAATGTCACTCAATCAAGAAGTTAAAAACATTATGCTACAAAATGATGAATCAAAATTGATCGCTTTGAAAGATATATTACAAAAAAATATTAGTTCTTGTAATAATACGATTCTTGTCGACTCTTTCGAAGAAGAAAAAACTCTTAAAAATTTTAAAATCTATCTGCCAAAGAGTTTTAAAGAAAAACATAATGGCAGTTATGTTGTTTTAAGGTAAAGGTATTTGTTCAAATTCCATGATTTTTTTAATAACTTTTTGGTTAGTTGTAATGTTATGTTGACTGTAAGCTAGTTGAAAATACTTATAAATTTTTTATATAAGTTCATTAATTATTATATTTTATGTATATCTCAGGTCTCAATCAACTGGAAACTGTCTGTACAGTTCTATCTCCTTACGTCTTACTGGAAATAACTGTATAGTTAACGATTTAAGATTACAGACCTCAATTGAGCTATTCTTAAATGCCGAGTTTTATTCTAACCATCCAACTTTTCATTATGCTTTTATTAACAATACTAGCTCTTTTCTTTGCTATGATAACATTCTTCCTTTATCAGTATCACTAAATTCTTTGGATTCTGGAAAAAAAAGTAAAGATTTAGTTCAAGAAGAAGCTATTAACAATTGTAACAATGAAAACTGGTCTTCTTTCCTTTGTATTCTTGCATTATCAAGTGTTTGCAACAAGAAAATAGAATGTTTGTATCCAGATTTTGGTCTACAGAAGTATAAAATTTTATTCAGCTCAACTATTTTACCTCGTATAACTTCCTTAAACACTATTGAGTCTTTACATCTCCTTTTTTGTTATGAAGGTGTATTAAATGATTTTTCCGCTCCTTTTCAACACAACCATTATACCCCTGTGATAATAAAAGAAAACTTAAAACGAAAAAATTTAAACAAAAGCTGCAAAATGTCGCAGACTAAAATAAAATTTTATTTCGAGACCAAACATCAAGATAATAACTATTCGTTGGACAATTTAAAAAGTAAACCAATGGAAGTCTCTAGTCAACTCCCATTATCATTATCAAATTTTAGTTAAATTACATGTTGCGAATCATTTTCTTTACCTTCCAATAATTATGATATTGGTTATTTGGTTTCTAACTATACTAGTTATTCAAGTATTGCAAAACCTTGAGTAATTCTGAACTTTAACATTTAGTTAAAGATGTTTTTGTACCTTGTAAAACATTTTCTTTTCCTAAAAATCTTAATGGGCGAAGTTTTCAATTTATGTGGATAGAAAAATTTCCATGGCTCACATATTCGAAAATATTCGATGGAGCCTTTTGTTTGCCATGTGTACTTTTTGGGTGTAATTTTCCATCTGAATGTAGTTTAGTCGAAAGATTATTTCGTAAGCCTTTTGATCGCTGGAATGATGCTTCTTGTTACTTTCAGAAACATGCATTTGGCAAAAACAATAATAAGTCTGTCTGCAGAAATAAAGGCTTACATGTAAAAACTGCTGAAGTTTTATTTTCATTGTCGTCGATTTGGTCTTCTAAAACAGAATCAATAGATATTACATCTCAAAAAATAGTTCAATCACAGGTTTCTAAAAACCGACAGTTATTACAACCAATTATTGAAACAATTATTCTCTGTGGACGTCTTGGTCTTTCTTTACGAGGCCATAGAGGCAATTCAGAGTTTCATCCTGAAAATAGTGAGTCTTTTAATCATACTGTTGGAAATTTTATTGAATTATTACATTTTCGTGTTAAAGCTGGTGATAAAGTTCTTGAAGATCATCTTAAATATCATCAACAAAATGCTTCTTACATATCTAAGACATCACAAAATCAGTTAATAAGGTGTTGTGGAGAAATTATTACTGACACAATAATAGGAGAAATTAAAAATTCTAAATATTTTTCTATTATTGCTGATGAAGCTTCTGACAGTTCAAACAAAGAACAGCTATCATTAGTTATACGGTTTGTTGATTCAAAGTTTAATATAAGAGAAGAATTTATCAGTTTTTTACATTGCACAAATGGTGTTACTGGTCAAGGATTATTTGATATTTTGTTAAAAAGTATTTCAGATTTTTCTTTAGATATCATGAATTGCAGAGGACAGTCATATGATGGTGCTGGAGCAATGGTTGGTCACACCAAAGGATTGTCCTCTCGTATTTTAATTCTAAATGAAAAAGCTACATTTGTTCATTGCTATAGCCATAGGCTTAATTTAGTTATTTGTGGCTCGTGCAATGTGCAATATGTCAAGAATCTTCTGGCATATGTTAAAGAGGTATCATATTTTTTCAATCTTTCACCTACCAGACAACAAAAGTTAGAGGAACACATTGAATGTACTGTTCCAATAGCTGTTAAAAAAAAATTAAAAGATGTTTGCAGAACACGTTGGGTGGAAAAAGTAAATGGTTTAGATACTTTTCAAGAACTTTTTATTCCTTTGGTCTCTTGTCTTGAAGAAATGTCTTTAAATGCCAATAAGAGTTTTAATCATTCAACAGCTTCTAGTGCATCATCCCTTCTGAAACTAATTACAGGTTTTGATTTTATTGTTGCTATGTGCATAACAAGAAATGTGTTTGACTTAACTCTTCCCATAACGCGAATGTTGCAGTCAAAGAGTAATGATATTTATGATGGTTTGAATCTTATTCGGGCGTTAAAAGATGTTGTGATTTCACTTAGAAAGATCGTTGATCAACACCATAAAATGTGCTATGAACAGGCTTTAAAAATTGCACAAAGTATTAATGTAGCTGAAGCAAAGCCAAGAACTTCATTTATTTCCAAAAACAGAGATAATACTCCTTCTGAATCTATTTCTGATTATTTTAAGTTAGTTATCACGATTCCTTTATTAGACCATCTAAGTGTTGAACTAGACACAAGGTTTGATGATACTACCTTTAAATGTTATAAAGCACTTGTGCTAGTTCCTACAAAAATGATTTCAGTAGTGCAATGTTCTCATGACACCAGTTGGAAAGACTCCATCATATCTTTCAGTGACTTTTACGCAACAGACTTACCGAATCCGCTTGCTTTGTCTGGTGAGCTTGATTTATGGGAAGCCTTCTGGTTAAATTTTGAAGGAGATGTCCCTTCTAATATTTCCGAGACGTTAAAAGCGATAAATTTTCCTGGTTTTGAAAACATAAAAGTTTGTCTTAAGTTACTTGCTACCTTTCCATTAACTTCATGTGAGTGTGAGCGGACATTTTCTTCACTTCGGCGCCTAAAAAATTATATGCGAAGCACCATGGTTCAGGACCGTCTAAATGGTTTAGCATTAATGAATATTCATTCAGAAATAGTTATAGATATCAATAAAGTCATTGATAAGTTTGCCACTAATAATCGTAGATTAACTTTCAAATAAATATAAAATATATTTAAAAAAAAAATTTTTTTAATAAAAAAATGCAAAATACTAAAAAAAAACAGTGCAAAAAAAGTCAGCTTCTTTTGCCAATGGTAAAAAAAACGGCTATTTTCATAGCCACACACTTTTATAAAACATTATTTGGCATAAAGGAATTATTAACATACATTGAGTTGCATACATGTTGGTTTTAGGTATATCGTTTTTTTTATGCTATGTTGAAATGATTATATTGTAAATGTTTTATCTTTTGAACTGATTTTTTCAGATTTTATATATTTTGCAAGCATCAATAGAATTAAGATTTTAAAATCTACTTTTGCTATGCAAAATAAAATACTAAGATTGTGGCAATTTCTGTATATATAATTCAACTTTAATTATTATAATATATAGTTATTTCTGTTATTTATATTTGTTACAATATAAACAAATTATATAATTATTTACAATAAAAATATAAAATGTGTAAGTTTATAATTTAATAATGAAATGTGTAAATATAAATCTAGTTTGTCATAATAAGTTTGTAAATATTATGTAAACATAATTTTACTATGGTAAGGTGCCCAAGCGATATCCTTGCGTATTTTTAAGCCTATATATATGTATATATATATATATATATATATATATATATATATATATATATATATATATATATATATATATATATATATATATATATATATATATATATATATATATATATATATATATATATATTAACAGGGCCGTCACTAGGAGAGGGGGGTGTCTAACCCCTTACCAAAACTTTGTTGAAAAATTAGTCGGCAAATTTGGACTTGTAGTCTGCAAGTTTGGAACTATAGTCGGCATATGTCAGTAAACGAGAATCATACGTCACCTTCTCCCCCACCCCCTCCTCCTTTTTTTTCTTCGGGACGGCCCTGTAATATATCCCCTCCAACTCCAGAATAGTTGAGGGGGGAGGGGGGAGAATAAAATGTTGCTCTTAAAAAAATCAGATGTACCCAAATAATTTCCTGGATCCGCCCCTGATACATATATATATATATATATATATATATATATATATATATATATATATTATATATATATATATATATATATATATATATATATATATATATATATATATATATATATTCATAACATTTTATATAGATTTAAATATAGATTTTTATATGGATTTGAATATTTTATACAATATTAAATAATTTATGTTATAAAGTATTTTTTATATATATATATATATATTTAAAAATTAACGAAAGAGTACCGCGAGTTTTTAACTTGCAAACATGGTACAGCAAGTTTTGTAGCTTGCAAAAGAGTACCGCGAGTTTCTTAACTTGCAAACATAGTACAGCAAGTTTTGGAGCTTGCAAAAAGGGTACCGCGAGTTTTTTAACTTGCAATCATTGTACAGCAAGTTTTGTAGCTTGCAAAAGAGTACCGCGAGTTTTTTAACTTGCAAACATGGTACAGCAAGTTTTGGAGCTTGCAAAAAGGGTACCGCGAGTTTTTTAACTTGCAATCATTGTACAGCAAGTTTTGTAGCTTGCAAAATATTTTTGAACGACGGCTCTGGCTTACCTTCACGTGGTGTCTGTTGTTAAAAATGATTTATTTAGTTTCTTTCTTGGAATTTGAAACAATATCATTTACTAAAAGCCAAGACTTAAATTTATTATATTTTGTATTTTGAAACTTTTTAAAATATAATTTTTAAAATTAGTTTTATCTTCGGCCTATTTTTAGGGTGGATACTCTAACTTGCGTTTTGTAATGTGGTAAGATTAGAAAAGTTATGTCTCTTTAAATGAACATAATTTAAAAACATTTAAAAAATTTTTATTGACATTTTTTGCAAGTTTGAATGAGAAGGGAAGGAGGGCGTTAGGTGTAGCACACACCCCTCCCTGTACTAACATATTAAAATAATCTTGAATACTTGTTTCTTTTTTCCAATAAACTTAATTTAAAACTATTTTTCAAATATCTTTTGAAAATTTTTTTTTAGGTTGGATACGACTGGGCAGGAAGAACGTCGTTTGGCGTGGCACAAGTCCCGTTCCTTTTGTCAACTTATACACCACTTGTATATGCTGAAAAAAATTTAATTTAAAATTTTTCATACAAAATATAATCATTGTTTTTTAGGTTCAAATATTTATAACAATTTAGCATTTCACTACGAGGGTGTTAAAACGTAAGAAAGACATCCACTCTTCAATCTAAAATAAACCACTAATATTTGGAAATGGATTGGAAACAAATTGGAAAAATTTTTTGTGTATAAAGATGATATATTTTATCGGAAAAATACTCTTTCGTGTGAAAAACTTGTCTTTTTTTAAGGGTACGAGGGTGTTCTGGTACCCCCTCCGGTCCTCTAGACGCCCCTTTCATCTATAGAGTTAAATG